GTATTTTTCTACTTACATGGTGTTTGGGGTTTAAATATTTGCCCTTACCTAGGTGAGTTAACGAGTGATACCTCTCCGGGTCATGTTGGACCTGAGAACAACACCAATTAAAAGGTGGTTTTATGCTCCTCAAATCCTCCAATTTTCCGATTAGTGGCCTTGATGCTAGATAAAGTCTATCGTCATACCAAGGACTATTAACGCAATAGCAAAGTAACAATCTATGATATAACAACACATTACTGTGACATATGTTAACATATTTGGAACTAAAAACACACAGAGAACATAAATATGATACATATAATGATATTTAAATAATACATATAATAAAATTGATTTAAACTGCTTGTATATTTATTGCCAGTGATGCCATTGGTTGTCGGTAGATTAGATTACGAAGCATAAGATCTTGTCTCTCTTGAAAGTACTCGGAGTAAGTAGCAAATCTGGGGAAGAAAGAAAAACAAACGTAGAGTTTGTTTTTCTTTTTTTTATCGAGAATTCACCAACTTATAATTTAACAAGAAAATGCCCTTATCTCTTACAGGGAAACCCAATACGTGTACAAATACATTCATGCTTTAAGCGATAGTCGAACGACTTAAGCCAAGTAACCGGCCAATGTTTGTCACTCTTTATATATTTTCAGTGCGTTTAACAATGTCGAATTTCACTTCCATTGAGATTGTCTTCAGACGCTATCAGAAAAAAAAAGGTTACAATGTTTGGGAGCCAGACTGAAGAGCAATAAGTTTCCATAAACACAATACAAACGAAAGAGAGAGAGAGAGAGAGAGAGAGAGAATACAGGGCATTCCAATATGGCGTACATCCAAGAACTGACACACACCGTCTTGCTCCCTCTAGCGCCGCATGACAACGAATTCTTCTGCCGCGCAATGTATTCTTCCACCACAACGTTGGCGTCGTATATACTAGGTTAATGGCTTAAGTCAAGAAAAGATTAATGGTGATTATATCGTAAACACAAATCGTCGTAGGTCGGGAATGTTGTAAAGATGGGAATTACAGCATATATATATATATATATATATGTGTGTGTGTTGTGTGTGTGTTTGTGTGTGTGTGTGTGTGTGTGTGTGTGTGTGTTCTGTTAATACGTTATTTTAACAGATGCCATTTAAGTTAATGACTGTTTTTTTTTCAGTATTAATTACATTTATCGGTCTGAATGTTCGAGAAATTTCGTAGAAAATATGTCCTTCTCCGACAGAAGCGTTTACTTAAATTATATCTATTAAAATAAAGTATAAACAGAAAATATATTAAATAATTGTTCGATTTAATTCAATTCATAATCTATCTATCTATCTATCTATCTATCTATCTATCTATCTATCTATATGCAACTTCATTAAATGTGACAGACAAGGTGCTTTGATTAAGATAATTTATAAAATTTCTCATATGATCATATAATTTCTTTTTATTTTCAGTAGATAAATTATACAAAAATCTGTCCAAATATTTTATTTTTCCGAGCGCTTTCGGCTATACATTTACCCTGTTTCTGAAAATGGATAACTGTAGAGCCGGAAGAATTCGACTTACAATCTCATCACAGATGAAGAAAAGACTTGAAGTAAGATCAATATGGTTCTACAGGAGGATACTGAGAAAAGTACTGACAATGCAATCACAAATGAAGAAGAGACTTGAAACAACATCAATGTGATTCTACAGGAGGATACTGAGAATATCACTGAAAATCTCACCACAAATGAAGAAATGATTTGAAGCCATATAAATGTGGTTTTACAGAACGATCCTGTTGGAAATAGACTGCTCGTCTGATTTATAGGGGTATGTTATCAATGGCAAACTCTTGAAGCATTTGTAAGCAAGAATTTGTAGTCACTGTTGGAGTTGGAAAGAAATATGTGCCAATTACATCCTGTGACTTCTAGTTATGGGGTATGATAAAGGATCACGTGTATAGTAAAAAAAAGTTAGCGACATCGAAGAACTCAAGGACTGAATAAAAGGTCTAATATCAAATATTCCCCATAAAATATGTGTCAAGGCTCTTAACTGTACTGTTGATCGCTGGTTTTTGTGTATCAATCGTGCTGGTGGACAGGTGGAGACAATTCAGTAAACTCTAAAAAAATATCCCTCTCATACGGGTGTTAACAATTTTGACTTAACTTTTATAACAGATGGTCGGTGAGCTTTTGTATTCTGGTTCACTCTACTTATATTTATATCTTAGCCTATGAACTTTCCAGTCGACCCCCGTACAATTAAAAGTGAGGTTATACACAAATTTCAGCATCAGGGTAGAGCCTATTCTTCACAGATACTGAGGCAATATTCAATTTGACTGAGTAGAGAAATCATGAGTTATACCACTTTATTATCTTTAATCTTTCCACAGAGGAAGATTTGTACAAGGGCTTTACGAATACCAAAATACATCGATGTGATCATTCAATAAAGTGTCTCAATCAGAGTTTTGTAGATGTTTTTTTGTCCCGAAGAACAATATGTGTAAGAAATATAGAAGTTTTACCAAATCAGCCAGAACAAAAGCTGTAAGTAGAAAGAGGAAAAAACAGGGAAAATGAAAAAGAAAAGAAAAGGAAAAAAAAAGAAGAAAATAAAGAAAAAAAGAAGAAGCAAAGCTTAAGATCAAAGAGAATGTCCACTGGCAATTTCATAGAACAGGCAATAAGGAGTTTTCGCAGGCAAAGAAAAAATAAACATTATGATAGAAGGGTCATTTGTGGTCGAAGACGTTAGACCAGCTGTCCATTCATACAAATAACTAACGTCCTGTCTCTGGATCATTAATGATATAAACATTAATTTTAGGAAGAATTAATGGTAGCGATAATGGCTGCGGATTATAGTCGGATTATTTTCGAGGACATCAGTAAATGTTTTCTTCTGAAGGACAACAGCATCATGAAGCCATGAATAATAATAATAATAATTATCATAAAGCCATGAATAATAATAATAATGAAGCCATGAATAATAATAATAATAATAGTAATAGTAATAAATAAATGTGATAAATATCCAGAAACGATTGATCATCCTGTATCAGGTTGCACGATGTTGGCACCCACTGAATATAAAACCCGACATGACAGAGTGGGCCAATATCTGCACTGGAAAATCTGCTACTTCTACGGGAAGGAAACTGAAAGAAACTGGTATGAACACCACCCAGACCCGGTTACAGAGATAGGACCCGTTACAATTCTATGGGACTACACAATACATACTGACAGAACAATCAAGGCCAACCGGCCAGATATTGTTATTAAAGACCACAAACAAAAACGGTGCCTCCTTATTGATATGGCAGTCCCTGCTGACTGCAATGTATCTTTGAAGATATTCAAAAAGCTGTCAAAATACAAGGACCTTGAAATAGAAATCTCAAAAATGTGGCATATGGGAACATCAACAATCCCTGTTGTAGTTGGAGCCCTAGGACTGGTTGGAAAAAGATTGCAGTAGACTAATTGAAGAGATTCCTGGAAGTCCATGCCTCAAGGAGATACAAAAAATTGTTCTGACAAGTACAGCCCACACTTTACGAAGGGCTTTATCTATGTAATTTTTTTTTGGGGGGTGGGGTCAGTGGAAAGTGTCATGACGCCATTTCTAACCTTAGGTCCCTGGGCGGGACCCGGAAAGAAATGTGTAAACGCCAGAAATCCAAGAAAATAAAAATAATAATAATAATAAAAATCATAAAGCCATGAATAATAATAATAATAATAATAATTGTCCAGATAAAATTACAAAGAAATTGGGAGGGGAAGGCGCTGCATGGCAAATACCTAAAAAGAAAGAAAGAATCAGATGTGGACCAAGAGAAAAGATATCAGTGGCTGAGGAGCACCAGGTTGAAAGCTGGGAGAAAAGACCTAATTATTGCGGCTCAGGACAAAAGCCACGGAACCAGATCCTATTAATATCACATAATCAAGGATGGAACTAACCAGAAATGCAGGATCTGCGGAAAATATGATGAAATTGTTGACCATATTGTCTCAGGATGCCCGGAACAAGCAAAAAGTGAATATACCCCACAGACATAACAAGGTAGCGACATATGTGCATTGGAAGATATGCAAGAAGCACAAAATCGAAACCACTGAGAGATGGTATGAGCACCAACTAAAGTTACATAAAATAACGATGTAACTATCCTCTGGGACATGCCAATTAAAATGAACAGAGAAATAAAACCCAACAGCCCTGATACTATCATAAAACCAAACAATTCAAGAAGTGTATGCTTATTGACATAGCAGTACCATCTGAGAGAAGCACCTCTTACTATAGAGTCCCTTTCCCACAAACTTAACGTTGATTTAAATTTCCCGCCTTTCTTCCTTTTTTGGGGACATTACTTCAGACAATTGCAGCCAAGTCCCGCTTTGCTACGACTAAAATTTTAAATCATTCTCATTTCCTACCTATTCCTCTGGTAAGGAAAAATTTCACATCAAAATATCCTTGCAAAAAACCGCTACTTTGTCGAATAAACTCCCACATGGTTGCTTCCCAGAACACTTTCAATCGTTACCAATTTGCCATACCTTCGTAATCTTCATTTCTTACTTTCACCGTTGACGTTCATATTGAGTAACTCTTGGGTCTTAATGGCACGTACCCTCTATCTTGTGTGACTTTTGAGCCTTCATGTCATGTACCTTGGGTGGCTCTTTGGTCTTCATGTTACACACCCTTTCTTTTGAGTGGATCTTGGGCCTTCGTATTACGCATTCTCTATTTTGATTGGCTCTTGGGCCTTCGTGTCACGCACCTTCAACGTTGAGTGGCTTTTGCATCTTCATGCCACGCACACAATATTTTGAATGGATCTTGAGCCTTCATGTCACGTAGTCTTTATTTTGAGTGGCTCTTGGGCCTTCGTATCACGCACTCTATTTTGAGTGGCTCTTGAGCCTTCATGTCACGCACCTTTTATCTTGAGTGGCTCTTGGACCTTCATGTCATGCACTCTCTATCATTTTTATAGTCCAACTAAACAAAACACCGACCGACACGCGCCCAATTTTTTCGGTAATACGAGAAACTTGAATATCAATACCGACCTCCTAATTTTTCCCGGTTTTCTCGTCTGTGAGAATAAGGCAAAAGGTCAGCCCTTGTTTTTTGGTCATGCGTTCCCACCCTTTTGCCAAAGTGCAAACTTGTAGTATAAATGATATGAATTATCGGTACTTGAAGATTGAGTTACAACGAAAATGGAACATATCTTCATGAATAAAAGCAGCTGTCATTGGAAAACTGGGCATTAGCAGAATTGAACTTAATGACCATCAAACAATTTTCTTTTCTTATTATGCGATTCTATGTTAGAGAAAAATAAGTCATTAATATCCACAATGCCATAGACCTGTAGCCATGTATAGCTTTGCTATCAGCAAGGAACTATTGAAGACATGTGAACAAATCACTGTGAAAAAATGAAAACGATTCATGCTTCCTTATTCGCAGACGAAACCAAAAGCTGACAAACTTAGAGGAAATATCAACAAATTATCTGGACCTGCAAATTTACTACCTTATTTGAAAGTCCATCATTACTAAACTTTAATTGTCGCTGCTTGCGAATTTTAAGGTTTATTCTTTTATACAATGTGTTCCTTCAGGACTTGGCCGATCATGGCCCTCCACAACTGTTTATCCTTTGTAGCACTAAACAGTATTTGTCCTTTTACTATCATTTCTTGTTCATCTTCTGCCATGCATTAGGTATTTTAGTCGTTGTTTTCCCTGGTTTCTATTGACTTCAATATATCCAATGGCAAGCAACAAATAAGGTATAAATAGTTGCGCACTTTCCACATGTGATGGGAGGTAGGTATAAGAATTTTTGTGACCTTAAACTTAACTTAAATATCATGGGAACATTTTATAAATAGATATTGCTGCCATATATGGTCCGCTGCTCTTGCTGTATATTTAGAGATTCTTGATAAAATCGAAAGAAAAATCAGCAATATTATTGGTCCTGATCTGGCATCTCGTCTTCACTCACTTAGCTACCACAGTAATGTAGCGTCTCTCTATTTTCTATAATTTTTTCGGATGAGCTTTCCTCTTTGGTACCTAGACTTTATGAAATTAAGCTATATTGTCAAGAAATCATTTTACAGATGAAATGGTAAGATGGAACCGTAAGTTTTATGCTAGAGGTTTCTGGAATTCGCTTCTGGCTCCATACTTTCCGGCCAACTTTGATCTTGAAAAATTTAAATGTTATGCCATTCGTCTTCTTGATTACTCTTCTGTTTCTTGCTGCTTGTTTCCATTTTTTTTTATTATTATTCTTTCATACTCAGCAATCTCTTGTTTCTTTACTGCCTTGCTTAGGGTGATATGATTAAAAAAAACGAAAGATGACCTTGACCTCAAGCTGAAAATGTCGTCATAACGCAATTTCTGCTAAAACATTAATCTTAAAAAGGGGATACGTTGACATCAATTGTATAAAAGTGCTTAAATCCACACCTTTGCCGTTCTAGCGTTTCTACTTGGTGACCTGTATTTCAGTCAAAACCCGCGAAATTGATTATTGTCCGCCTTTGTTTTCCCTACAAAACCGAAAGAGCAGATGCGGCAACTATAACATCCAGATTGTAATCTGACCTCGACACACTTCATGATGAATAGGCGAGAGACAATATTTGATTTGACCACGTATCCATTAATACGCCTTTTTTTCACCCATATAACTTTGATGGAGCACACACAATTGGTCATCTGGCAATCGTCATCTCATGGCTTCTTAAATTGCGTACGTCGCAACTTAAGGATAACTGTGTAAATGACATAAACCTGTTTTACTCTATCTCTCTTTGTCATGTCCCTCGATCATGACTTTCCACAGCTTCCTGTATTTTGTTAATTGCAGCCCAGTTATGTCATCTTTGTGGTATCGTTCTTCCGTCAATTTGGTGAAATTTTCCTTGCTTACTTGCTGCTTTCTTGAGATTCACTTAAAATTCTGTTAAATTCTCCAAGCCTTCCTTCCGTATTATGCATCACCAATATTTCTCTTTTTAGTTCTTAATAGGATTTTCTTTAAAGTTCCTCTATCTATTAGAAATTATATGCTCTCTCACTTGTAGCTAACAACATTAACCAGTGAAATCATATTTCTGTTGGCTTACGGCCATATCAAATTGAAAAACCGTTTCTTGTACGATAACCGAGGTCAGAAAGGTCGAGCCTGGTTAGTATGTACCGTTTGCGAATACCAGGTGCTGTAAGTTTGGGTGTGCAGATGGTGTAATGGATAATGGCACCGAATGAGAAATCGGTGAGATGAGTTCAAATTCCAGTCAGGTTCGTTATATTTAAATACGCACAAATATCCTTGGGAAAAGTATGAAGCAATCGCTTCTGCTCATCACTTATAGATGAATAGCAACACAGACTGAACCCTAAGCCTTGGCTGCTAACCAGTGTAAAGTGGGGAAAAGCACTCAAACCAGCCTGGATTGGATTGGCAAAGGGCGACATGAGATGGAAATCTTCTATACAAAAAAGCCGGTGATTGTAGGATTATCTGACGTGTGGTACAGAATACACCAATATAGGAAATGGTGCTATGACGAAGAAATTGTGTTTCTTAGGCCATAAGCAATTGGCCATTGTAAACAATTGACCTGTTCAATATTAATTCAGAATTCATCACACACACACACACACACGTATATATATATATATATAATGTTTTAGATCAAACATACCCAAGCATGGCATAAAGTCATTAAGACACAAGGGGTGCTGTGGGAGAAAGAATCAGAAAACAAAAATTATTAAGGAGCGAGAACAATAGAAGAGTAATCAGGAAGACAGTAGATAACGATTGACATTGCATTTAAATTTTCCAAGATCAAAGTTGGCAGGAAAACATGGAGCCAGAAGACAGTTCCACAAGAGAGAAGTGCGATAGATGAAACTCTTAGCATAAAACTTACAGTTACATCTACTCAGCTGTTAACTAATGAGACCTTGTTGCCAATCGAGTACTGCGCTTCAATTCATAAAGTCTAGGTACCATATTGAAGCGCTCATCTGAACAATTACCATGAAAGTAAAAGAGGCACAAAGAAGCAACTCTACGGCAGTCGTAAACTGAATTAATATAATTTTTTTTCCAGAAAATGCTTGAAAATAGCCATTTTTATCCTCACCTCGGTGACTTTTCTCATTGTGTACATGCTGTCTACCCGAAATGTGGTGGTTGGGGTTCATCTACGTGGATATATAGAAAAAGTAAAGTAACTAATAGAGTCGGTCCCCTTACGATTGCGTCTTTCGATGCACATAAAACTGGTTGTCGTCACCGGCCATCAGAAAAATTTGTTTCTACAAGATGCACATACGTGCGCTTTTCAAAAAGTATCGTGACTTGTGCTATAAAAAATGAACAGAACTACAACACATATCAATTCGGCATTTAATCGCTTTCGAAGTAGTCCCCATCTGAAGTCACACACATTATCCAACGTTTTTATTTTTATTTTTTTTTTAGTGGAAGCATTGCTTTTTTGGGTTAGAGAGTACCTGCTTCGTCGCCATTCTGTTGGATGTTCTCGGCATTTTGAAATCTTGTTCCTTTTAAGTTGGATGTAACTTTTGAAGAGGTAAAAGTCGCAAAGAGCGAGATCCGGGGAATATTGTGCTTGTCGGACCTGGGTAATGTTTGGTCATAACCTGCTTCCCAAACCATTTTCACTGATTGAACCTCTGTGTTGTAGTGAGACGACCACACTCTACACACTTTCCTTCCAAGCCCTGCTATAAACAAAGCAAGTGACCGAGAGCGTTATAAAAGCGACAGTCAGTTTGTGCCAAGAGGCTTCACTCGGCATAGTTTAACTCTGTTACCACAGCAACATTCCTGATAACATTTTAATAAATCTCGTACATATGTATCTCTTCATCTGTCTGTCTGTCTGCTTGTCTGTTCGTCTATCTGTGTCTCTCTTTTCTCTCTATTTCTGTCTTCTGTCTCTCTCTCTCTCTCTCTCTCTATATATATATATATATATATATATATATATATATATGGTTGAATAATTTGGACATAAGTCTATTTTTTTAAAATCTTCTGGTATTCACGGGTATTTCTTTAACGCTGTAACTAAACTGGTTGAGAAAGACGCCATATCTGTTCTTATACTTTTTAATTTCCCAAGTACTTTCAATCTCATCTAAGATCATGTTCAAGGGTGAATTGCTAAGACAAAGAATTAATTCAATCGACATTTTTTTGTGTGTGCGCATGAACGCGCTCGGTTAATTAAAAAATACTGCTATTTAAGGGATGTAACTTAATTTATATTTTAAAATTCTTTATTAAGAATTGTAATTATGTGTTTTAAAACATTCTGTTATAAATATAGTTTTTGTTTGCATATGTTGGAGTATGAGAGGATTAAAATAAGAATAAAGCGACATAATATGTATAAATTATTCAACCATACATGCTTAAATGATCAACTACGTATATATATATATATACATATATATATATACATATATATATATATATATATATATATAGATAGATAGATAGATAGATAGAGAGAGAGAGAGAGATTTCTCACTCTCTCTATATATACAAATGAGTGAAAGAACAGATGGATTATATATGCACTGTTTTAAGTAGTTAATCGAGACATACCCACTAGTATATTTTCAATTCCGATCTTATGCCCCCCCCATAACTTCCGAAAGGAGGTAACGATTTGTTTTTTGAACTTACATAACAAAAAATCATTTTTATCACAAGTTACAAACTATCACCTAAGGAAGTACAATCATAGTATTGAAACATGAAAGCATTTGTGTAGCGATGTTAAACATTTTTATTGCAAACTTATATATATATATATATATATATATATATATATATATAAAAAAATCCAAAATCTCCAAATATGGTAAATAAGCTTATTTCGACAGACCAAAATATAATAATTGGAGCTCTTTTTGTGGATCAGTTTTAATATATATAACTAGGATCCACTTGGATTATATAACAATGATTTTTTTTACTTTTACTATATATATATATATATATATATATATAATCATTTATTCAAAAATTATAACATAAAAATGTTATAAAATGACTACAAAAATAGCCATTTTGTTTCAACACCTGTTGTCTTATCAAATGATGGTGTTGAATGTAGAATAAAGGGTTTTAAACCTTTTAAAACCCTTTATTCTACATTCAACACCATCACCTGATAAAACACCAGAAGCTATTTTTGTAGTCATTGTATAACATTTTTATGTTAGAATTTTCGAATAAATGATTATATTTGCTCTACTATGTATTGAGCACTCTTTTTATGAATAGTATTTGTTTGGAATTTATTACGTATACACCAATCCTATACTTGGATATATATATATATATATATATATATATATATATATATATATATATATATATATATATATGTGTGTGTGTGTGTGTGTGTGTGTGTGTGCATCTTTCATTGAAAACGACCGACGACAGGGATATGTGAAACGAAAATGTAATCAGCGAAATGGACTTAGATTTATGGGGTTCTTTGAAGTCTGGTGTTCTTTGAACCTATATAGGTAAATCAATATAGATTAACCTTTCATATATTTATCAGTAAAATAATGAAAGCGGAGATAAAGTAAAACCGCGTTGATTTGATCTTCTCACTAGCGCCCTCTTCTGGCCATTTTGAAGACAGAAACTACAACGTATTTGCTCTAGTTTTATCCGCTGCAATTTTGCCAACTATCAGTGCAAATGTTCGTGCCCGATTAGAAAATTAAAAATAAAATTTTACGTACTCACCAAAAGCATTTATTAGTCAAGTATATATTTATTGTTTTTTAACAACAGTCTCCCGTTGTTGTACAATCTTGTGCAAAGAAACTTTGTCGTCTGACTTGGGCAAAAATGAAAATAACATTATCTTATATAGAAATAAAGTGTCTCTACCGATGCTTGAGTTTGAACATAGATCGCCAGTGCGCAAACACATGCAATCCCATTATTAAATTAAGTCGATCACGTGACCATAGTGGAAACGCATAAGTCGGAAGTTGCGTGACGTTTAATTGTTCGCTATTTCTTGTCTATCCTCTATTAATATACGGACCGCTATTCTCTACTCTATTCATTATTCTATTTCTCTATTTGGATCACTATACGAATTGCTATTCGAGCGAGCATTATCGAGCAAGTACTATTAGTATGGGTGTTATTCGAAGGCCTCTGACACCAGTATTTTTCAACGGCGTTACTATAGTTATATCTGCGGTTGCAAAATCTCTACTACAACAAGCATTACGAAAGTGACAACGAATATTCGTTGACATTACAAAAGTGTCAAACGAGTGTTCGTTGACTTCATGAAAGAGTGGCATCTCATTTTAACAAAATTACACATTATCTTTTCTTGAATTACTTAAGAGTAAATTTATTCAATTAAATCGCCATTGGCTTCAACCACGGCCTCCAAACGACTCCGGGATCCTCTGCAACTCTTCTGGACGAGCATCGTATATCCGGATTAGTGAAGGTCAATATGCAAGTCAAAGAAATAAAGTAAAAAAAAAATCATTGAAGATAATAAACCTTGATTTCAATAATGTTCAACGAATTTCATTTTGAAATCAAATAATTTTACTTATTTTTCATCATCTGCTGACTTCGAATATTCTACGTCGTTATTTCCAACTTGAAAAAGAGAGAAATGTACCTGATTGACACTATACAGAGTGCGATTGATTAATTGTCGTCTAAATGAGGCAAAAAATAAAAAATAAAATAACACTTAACATCTCATTTTAACAGATATATTTACCAATATTACACAAAATATCTTGAAATACTAAAAAGTAAATTTATCCAATAAAATCGGTTATTGGCTTTAACCGCAGCCTCCAGACGACTTCGAAATCTCCTGCAACTCTTCTGGGCGGTCTTCTTGATGGTGAAGGCTGCCATAATCCTTACCTTCAGTTCATCTTTGGATTTACAAATCTTTTTGTTGATCTCTCGCTTAACTACGCTCCACATATAATAATCAGGGGATTGCAGTGTGCGGAGTTAGGTGCCCGGATGTAAGAGATGATGTGGTGATAGAAATTGTCTAACAACCATAACTGTTCTCCTGCTTGTGGGACATAGTGCAGTGTCCTTTTGCCAGACTTAGAGTATTCCAGCATCCACCATCTTGACCTAGGGCAACACTAAATTGATGTAGGCCTCCATTTTGAGTCTGAGGACCTATTGGGAGATGAATGAAGGTATAACGCCGCCATCACTAGCGATCACTCCAAAAACCTTCGTAATCACCATTAGACTCAGTCAACTCTTTCCAAATCCTCTACCCTGTCCTCACATTGACACCCAAACACTCTGAAATGTTCGTATTACACTATTTATATGTACGTACAGTATTCTGTATAAAATAATTCATTTTCACCTTATCTTCCAGCGATATAGCTTTACGCTTAGCACTAGAAGTTTTCTTCAAAGCCATTAGCAAAATGTATTCTAAATCACGATTGAAATGTAATTAAAAGAGCTTCAACGGCAGATCACAGATGTAAATAGTTTGAATTCAAAATCGGTGTTGGAGCGGAAAAATGTACAAGTGCCGTCTGTCGGCAGGAATTTGAAATATGAACATTTGCTGAACATACTTTGTTATACTAATTGTCTTGTTTTTTGATTATATATATATATATATATATATATATATATATATATATATATATATATGTATGTATGTGTGTGTGTGTAATATTATTTTAAAATACTATTTGAATATAACTTTATGTGTTTATTGTTATTTTAGTGTTTTGACGTTTCTAATATTTTTAATGGCTGACAAAACCTCGAGTAAAACGACCTAATCTAAATGATATTCTTCCAGGTTGTTATATACCGTTCCTATGAACATTAATGGGTATGTCCGAATCCTCATAAATACAGTTGACAGTATTGTAAGTGGGGTTAATGTGCTGTCTAATTGGTCCACCATTAGTAGTGGTTTACCTACTCCACGCCGCTGGCGAGTATTATATTTTGTTGATGTTATAAAGATTACCATTTCTTTTCCAACCTCTGTTTTGGTTATTCCTCATTTAGTAACCCTTTCTAGGCTACAACACAGATAATATTACAAAAAATAGTTTCTTTGCTTTTCCCTTCTTTTCCTGCTTTTCTTTCTGTATGTGTATATCCCCAACTTTCACCTCCTCCACCTCTTCCGTTTCTTCCTTCTCGCTTTAGGCTTCATTATTAGCAGCCACATTCTCAACAATTGTTTTAATTCTTAGCACATTGTTGATAGAAGACACAGGAAAGAAACTGCAGGAACTCCTACAGAACGTAGTAAAGGAGAGCAAGAAGAAAAGACTAAGCATTAATTGTAAGAAGAAAAAATGCATGTTTGTCAACAAAAGCAATAGTTTAACGTACAACTTCCTTTTTGGAAAAATCAAACAAGTACAAAAATTTAAATATTTACGAAATGTTTTTAAAAAAGACGGACAATGAAGCACTGAAATCCGAAGACGCATTTGCATAGTTAAAGACACCTTACAAAAGCTAAGCAAAGTATTAAGTTACAGGAAAATGTAGCTAGAAATAAAGAAAAGTTTGTGGAACTGTTACATAATATCGGTCCTCTTATATAACAATGAATACGAGACAATCTCCTCAGAGAAGAGAAGAAGAGACTTGAAGCAACAGAAATGTGGTTCTGCAGAAGGTTACTGAGAATGCCATGAACTGAATATTTGAGTAACGACGAAGTTTTCAGGAAACTGGAAACTGAAAGTCATTTATACTTAGAATGTGAAAGAGACAATTGATATTTCTGGGAGTCATAGTGAGGAAAATTGCTTGGAGAATTTGACACTCGGAGGAGATACTGAAGGCAAGAAGGACAAACGCGTAACCTACCTAATGAGCTTGTGTCAATGTTTTACAGAACAGTCATTAGGGGACAGAATTTTCTGAACGCTACAAAGTACAGGACATTGTGGAGAGCCATGATCTCCCATCAAGCACCTAGAAGAAGACTGATAGCATATATTCTATTTTTGTCGTATATTTTGTCAGACCTTCCCTCATTTTCCCGCCTCTATTTTTTTTTTACTTTGTACCCATTCATTTTATATCTTCCATATTTTTCTTCTTTTCGTTTCCTCTTCCAATACCCACTCCTTCTCATCCTCTGACCCTTTCTCTCTCTCCTCTCTCCCTCTTAATGGTTTCTTTTCCTTGTCTTTCTTTATTTTTGCATTATTTTTTAAATCTCGACTTTTATTTCATAGTTATCTTATTTTTCTTCTCTCACTGTTGTTAACCGTTCTCCATCTTTTATTGTCATTTTTCTCTCCTCTAACTACAACTTCTTTTTTCTCCTTATTTAGCTTACCTTCATTTCCTCTCCTCTTACTACTGCTTGTCATTCTCCTCCATTTATTTTATCTTCTCTTACTTCTGCTAACTGTTCTCCTCCCTTTTCTTTATTCTTTCCTCTTACTACTGTTCGCCTTTCTCCTTATTTCTCTATACTTTCCTCTTACTATTGCTAACAGTCTCCCTTCCTTCTCATATCCTCTTTTCTTCTCCTCTTACTAATACTTACTGTTCACTTGTTACTCTCCTTTTACTACTGCTAACTGTTCTCCTTCCTTCTCTGAAATTATTTTTTCTCCTTTTACTGCTGCTTGATTTTCTCCTTATTTCCAATCTCCTCTTACTACAGCTAACCGTTCTCTTTCTTTTCCCTTTCTTTTCCTTTCCTCTTACTACCACTAAACGTTCTCATTCCTTCTCTTCTTCATCTTTTATCCTCTTACAATTGCTTCCCTTTCTCCAATCTGCTTTTTCCTCTCCTCCTACTCGATTTCTCATCATCTTTTCCTTTTCCTCTCCCATTTACCACTGGTAACCGTTTTTTCCCCCTTTCTCTAGGCTTCTTTTGTATCCTACTAATAAACTTTTTTCTTTCTCTTATCTTCTTTTTTTTTCTCTCTCTTATTACTCCTTTTATCTTTTCTTTTATTTTCTTTTTTTGTCGTCTTCCTATTGTTTAACCTTCTCCCTCCTCGTATCTTTTGTTTTTTTCGCTTATTTTCGTCTTGTTTGCTTTTCACCTTTCTCGTATTATCTTTCTATCTCCTCCTACCACCATTAGGTTTTCTCCCTCTTTATCTTATTTTCTCTCTCCTCTTACTATTCCTTCCTGCTGTTATTCCCACTTTCTCTCCTCTTAGCACTGCTTTTGCCTTTCGGCATTACTTTTCTTCATCGTCTGCTTTTACTTTCTTTCTTCGTCTCTGACTTCTCTTACTAGTGTGTCTTCTTCTTCTTTTTTCTTTTTTTTCTTCCTCTTCTACATTTAATTTTTCATCCTTTTCTAACCTTCTTATATCTCTATGAGCAATCGCTTCCAGCTATTTATGACGGGCCCGATTGACAAGACGGGAAGACCGTGTGATCTTCTCATCGACACAAGTGGACCGAACTGACCAACTGGGAGAAGAAAACTGACCATTAGTCTCCACCCACTGCCGGGTTCTCACAGACACCGGGCCCACCCTTGACCATTCCATATCCAATTTCACACTAGCACCACCACCAGAGTTACTATCACGGGCACTAGAGCTACCACTGCTACCGTAAGGACCCCATAAGCGACATCAGTTCACAGTATAAATACTGTCAACTAGCAAAGGACTAAAACCAATCCGATTGACTGACCACACAGACTGTGAGTGACCGAAAACAGTGACCAAATGTGTCAAATATAGTCGTCATCAGAAAATTTGGGTTTGAATTTGAGGATTTAGAAAGGGTTAATTGTAAAGAATCAGTCAAAACATTATCATTCCTTTTATATATATATATATATATATATATATATATATATATATATATATATATATATATATATATATATATATATAAGTTTCAATAAGTATGACAGACAAGGTGCTTTGATTTAGAAAGGGTTAATTGTAAAGATCAGTCAAAACATTATCCTTCCATTATATATATATATATATATATATATATATATATATATATATATATATATATATATATATATATATATATATATAGTAATTAGTAGGAGGATTTGATAATGATATTTAATTAATTCATCGAGTCTGATAACCCAACTTGTCAGGGTTCGATACTCGGTAGTGGATGCGCACTGCTGATGAGTCCCAAATATAGGACGAAACGGCCGTCCAGTGCTTCCTGCATTCTGTAGAGGTTTCTATCAGACTCGATGAATTAATTAAATATCAATATATATATATAATTATTATAAATAAATTGATTTAAAACATGTTTTTTCCGCTACACGGTTCTAATCATGTTTCAAAAATGGAAGGTCCGAATTTAATTTTGTAATTACATTAAAGACATTAGTTCCATTTCATCCTCAAGCGAATTTTTGGAGTAACTTTTATGTATTATTGAAACGTGCATATATATATATATATATATATATATATATATATATATATATATATATATATATGCAAGTTTCAATAAGTATGGTAGACAAGATACTTTGATTAAGTTTTTTTATATAATTTCTCATGTTAGCTTATATATTTTTTTCTTTTCGATAGATAAATTATATAAAAAATGTCCAATTGTTCTTTCTTTCCAAGCGCTTTCGGTTATACATTTAGCCATTTTCAAGGTTGAAATTTATTAACTGTTAATAAGAAAGAGATTGTTGTATTTTTATAATGTTACATTTGCAAAACACGGTCAAGATATTGTGTCAATATTAATTGTTGATATTATTGTGTGTTGTTTTTTTTTTTTTATTTGTGTTATCAACAAGTATATTACGAACAGGGCCCAGTATGCTTAAAACGGAGATATGTGTGGCTATGCCTAATATATCTCACATTTTACCCATATTTAAAAACTCTTACAATATATATATATATATATATATATATATATATATATATAGAGAGAGAGAGAGAGAGATAATATTAGTGGTAAATATACATATACATATGCAAACTAAATAGATATATATATAGGTGCATACACATATATGTATATTTTTTGAATAAAAAATTCAGGGAGGATAGAATCCAGGTTATCTTTTGAATAAAATGGAGAGCCATGATCGCCTACATCCTGAAAAAATTGAACATACATTTTTAAAAAAACTTATGTCTTAATTATATATATATATATATATATATATATATATATATTGAAAAAATTGAACATACATTTTTAAAAAACTTGTGTCTTAATTATATATATAAATATATATATATATAATTAAGACACAAGTTTTTTAAAAATGTATGTTCAATTTTTTCAGAATATAGGTGATCATGGCTCTCCACAATGTCCTATCCTTTGTAACTCTTAATAGAGATTGTCCTTTAGTTGTTTCTCTTAAATCATATTACGCCATCCATCCATTCACTCAAGCTCACAAAGCATGATATATGTTGTTTTACTCTGTCCCTCGTGCCTTTAGTCTGTCTTGTGAGTTTCTGATTTTCCGAGCCCTCTTTCTTCGTTATGTGCTCTAGAAATTCCATCTGTCTATTACAGATTTTTTAAAATTTTATTTTCCGTTTCGCATTGTTGGATGAAAAATAATTAGATTATTTCCCCTTTCATTTATACCTGTTTATATTCTTTGTTCATGATTGTGTAGCGCCACCTTATGTGATCTTCTGAAGGATGGTCTTCTTTAAAACCTACAAGTTTCATTCGCCTGAAGCCATTTTTAATCTTTACTCACAGAAAGCGAGTGTATTCCGATGATAGTTTAATTATTGCTGAACAAGTTGGATGCTATACATGACATCCGCATGACTGTCTAGCTCTGTCGAGACTGGGTAATAACATGAATCGAGTTCTTTGTTGAAATTTAATCGTTCAGTGTAATTTATGGAAAGGGTGCAGTAGATGTCTGCACCTCTTTGTGATTTTTTTTTTTTTTTTTGCAAAATTTCGAATAAGTATTTTTACATTACAGCATGAGCCCGACGATTTGTAAAACTTGTACACTTGGAAACAAATGAAATGAGGGAAGCTTTGACGACAGAGATATCGCAAAAGATATAAGAAATTGTAGCAAACATCGAGTTTCTTCTGTAAAACTCTTATAGCCATGTGACTAATTTAAAATCTTCAGAACTCCAGAAGTCACTATACTTGGGATATTGACCTTTATTATGATGCCCTAAACCAGGGGTCGGCAGCCTTTTGCCGACTTAGGCTTTTAAAATCATTCAGTGTCCCAAAAGCATACATATTTTTATACAAGGAAAGGTTAATATACCTGTTCTACAATATATTTTATGTAGTAATATATATTATGTATACTTTAGTATATAGTATATAGATTTTATATATATTAACATTGAAGCAGCTAAATATTTTTGCGTTGTAGCAGTTATTGGTGCGGATTTCCTGATGTCATTTGCCGCTGCGTGCCATTGGAAACTGCTTGACCAGTCAAGTGCGGCACGCGTGCCGTAGGTTACCGACACTTGTTCTAAATTACTATCACGATTTTACTTAAAAATTTAAAGAATATACATCACAAAAATATAAGTGAATTATGTGTCTATGACGATTTCATCATCATCATCATCATCCGTCTCATGATCGGATGTGGTTGAAGGATCGCAGCGCAACTTAGCACCTGACCAGTGCCCTACTTTTTAGCGGTCGTTGAAATCCCGGGAGATATTCATTCGTGCGTAGGGTCTCTTGAGCAAGCAGATCTGTCGGAGCCCATCCCACTCTAGGTCAAAGCACTGTCGATGTCGTCCAAGTCGCCTTCGTCGCGGACGGGTTGAGGTTTATTTCCTTCGAGGGAACCCACCGCCCTGGCCGTTGACCTCAGGCTAGGAGGCTCGCTGCCTTCCGAAACCGTGTCATCAATGCACTGGCTGTATGCACATCTACTGAGCCCAGTTTAGCCCCTACTATTGTGCAAGTTGGCCGTTGAACCTACTAGAATATTCATCCGACCATCTTTTTAAGTCTTCTGTTGTCTTTTCACTAGTAAATCTTGGTGAGGGAACTGGTTAAGTCATCAGACACGACCATGTGAATAGTTCTAGGTTACGTGATACCAGTAAAACTTGTAGACTGAACTGACCTGTGATGATATATGACTTTATATAAATAAAAGATTTTATCTAAAAGAGAAGCTGCATCATTCTGCGTTAACGTAATATTTGTTTACCTATGTCAAATATTCTTTGATGTTACTGGTATCCTTCTTATGTAATTTAGAAAGGAGATACGTATACAACATTGATACCATAAAAATCCCTTTATCTGAGAATACCTTTCTGCTGATGACGATTTTAAAAGAAGACAAAGCTATTGTCTTGTTTCCATATCTTCATTTTGTTATGAAAGTCCTGTGCATGAAAAGCAAATACAATTAGAATAAAAGAGGTACCAGTAAAAAGTTACTACTACTTCTTAATGCATTATTGAATAAAAAATCCCCCCACCAAAAAAAAAAAAAATATCGTCGTGTCAAAAAGATGGCTTTTCCCTTGACACCGCTAGTATTTTAACTACCTTCACTCCTCAGCAATATTTATTGTTTTAAAAAGCGATAATTAAAATTTTGATAAAAACTAAACATATGATGAAGTAAATTTATACAATTTTTTCTTCATTAGAATTTACAATAAAATACTAAACACTATTTATTTATTAAATTAGTTACGAGAATAATTTTATATGTACAAAATTCTAAACACTAATCCAATTATGTTAAAACTAATGCAACATATATCATTTACCACATTTATAAAGTAATAAATGTTTTGTGATGTCAACGAACACTCGTTGTCACTTTTGTAATACTCGTTGTAGTAGAGACTTTGTAATCGCAGATACAACTATAGTAAAGGTGTTGAAATATACTAATGTCAGACGCCTTCGGAATAACACTCACCCTAATAGTACTTGCTCGATAATTCTCGCTCGAAAAGTAAACAGCGAATAGTAATCTGTACAGTGATCAGTAGAGAGAAATAGTATAGAGAATAGCGATCCGTATAGTAAGATAGATTAGAAATGGTGATACGTATAGTAATAGAAGATAGAGTAGAAATGGTGATACATATAGTAATAAAGTAGAAAGAGTGATCGTTTAGATATCACGCTAATTCCGATATATACATTTCATACAGGGAACACCATTGGAAAATTCGTAAACTTAAGGAATCAGCACATATGCTAGGCCACAAAAATCTCCTGAGCCGACCAAGCATAGAAATAAATACAATATGGGAACCAGTAATAAGGAGTGCCAGAGAAAAG